TGAACCATCGTCGACACTTACGAACGTTCAAAACCTTTTCATAAACTTCTTTGATATTCTTTGTGGCTACAGAGGCGTTGTTTCCTTTTTGGTATTCAAACAGTATTACATGCCAAATGTGTGTCTCGTCGTGTGCCATCACTATAAGGGATTAGAGTATACTAAACTTTGCACATTATATAGGCTATACTAACGTGACGTTTAGGCAGATTGTTTAACTATTATACGTTATGTACATTTTTTTGTGGATGGTTAATGAAAGTGTTCCAAAATGCGACATTGATGAGTGGTGCCTGTCTGATTATACTTAACTTTAACTCTCCACCGTATGACATCACATGACTATAATGCTCACTGATGAGATGGGGAGTTCCATAAGATTGCTTGAGAGTTCCTTGCAGTATCTTGCTTCATAAATAAGGCCCACACCAGACTGTACCAACTCATGAACTATCATGAGTAAAGCTGCCTATCCTTCTGGTCCTAATTGAATAAAAAAAATGTATTTCCAAAAGGTTTTTACCTTTGATCACACTTCCCACTTGTCCTCCCCATTTCCAGTGTCTTTTTTTTTGCCTAATCTCGAAGTGTTGATTGTGCTCAACAGTATAGAGGGAGTCAGCTGCACTAGGAGGGTTTGTTGCACTCCTATTGAGGTAGGGTTGTTGCATGCTACAACGCAGCTATACCATGTATAAACACATGATGTCAGGTGTCAGTGAGTGAAAATTGTGCATATAGAGGGTAGCACAAATCGAGGAAAGTTATTATGTGAAAGGAGGTAAGTATCTATCTGAAATATATTTTCAGTGTAGGAAAAGGTTAACTTAAGATCCTCTATAATTTGTCTTATGGTAACTTTCAACTACTGAACACTTACAAAGTTCGTCAGGTGTTTGAGCATATATTTAAATTATGCTGATGTTCATAAAGGTACATAGCATTGGGAACATAAACAGTGAAGCTGCAGCTGAACATTATCAGTTTTTTTGCTGAATTAATATTTCTACAGTCCATCCTCTATGTTATATATGTGTTTAGAAAAGTTTTTGATATTAATATAGAAAAGTTGCACAACTTAAGAAGCAATGGTTGTCATCACATCATTTCCACCTCCAACAGAAGGAATTCGACATAGAGAGCCAAATACAATAGCACATATTAAGTCCAGAGATCTTGGGAAAGGAACTCTTTACATAGCAGAAAGGTAAGTTGTATGTTGAGTTTAATTTGTTAAAAGTGTGAATAAGTATGGAAGTCATTATGTATGATTATATGCAGACCTGTACGGTGTCCATGATATTGTAATGCAGAGTATATACCTTATGTTTTCACATTGTGTAGGTATTGGTAATGACTGTCTTGTCTCTTAGCTCATAGCTGACATTTAAGTCTGTGTCTTGCATAAGTTCTGTGTCTATGTTCTGAATTAGTCATATAGCTATTAGAATTCTACTTTCACCTTCTTTGTAAGTAATCTTTGGTCCATGGTGAGCATGGTTGTTGCATATTCTGCTGTAGCTGGGCTGTTAATTTTTCTATTGAAATTGTTTGTTCGATGTAGTGTTAAGCCTTAGTTCATCTCTTTAGTGTTGTTTTCCCCATGTCTGTAATATTTGAAAATTACTTCCTTATATTTTTGAGTTGAATAATTTAAATATGAAACTTTGGTTAGCAGACTCGTATAAAAACTTAGCAGTCTGGAAATAGTTGGTAACACTGGATATTCAATAATCATTTTGTGTTGGATAATAAAATATGTTTAAGAGCAAAGAAATATGGTTGAAGGGCTCAATATCTTTGCAACTACAAGATGAATAAGGTCAAAAGTGCTAAATTTAACTACAGAGTTAGCCTCAGAAACAATTTTGCTTTGACAGAGTACTAATGTATATGCATGCATTTTAAAGAAACCTACACTTGGCTATTTCCATTACTTAAAGATATAAATAATATATATATTTGGACAACATTTTCTATCATTGATCTAACTGGACTTAACAGGACTAATACAGCTCAAAACTGAAGTACTCTGTCAATTATTTTGGTATGGATTTATTATCCAATATGAACAGATAGGTCTTATTTTCAACGTTACTTGTGTTTTAACTGATTTTTGGAGGAAGTTAAAGTTAGAGAAATTTCTTAAATATAGTTTCTGGTCTTGACAAAATATATATAATCATAAGATAATTATCAGGCAAATGAAAAATTTTAAGACTAAATAAATTTCTTAGCACTGGAAGATTATTAATACAGTCTGTGGTTCTAAAAATATAGAGTTGTGGAGGACCCAAGAAAATAGTTTGTCTTGTTAGCAAGGTTTGAAAATTTTGATCTCAGATAATTTAAAAAAATATTTGTATGTTGGAAAACATTAAATTCTTACCTTATCATTTTACTGAAATTTTAATATTGGGTTGATTTCAGCACTCTTAAGGAAAACAATTTTTGAATATCTTGAAATTTTTTCTTACCATAATATGGCATTCCTAGCCCCCTAGTAGGGACAGTCAATAGTTTTTAACAAACTAGCACTAATTTGAACCTTGTAACTTCAGCACAAGTGTAGTTTTATTAAAATAACCAATCACTGTTTTTCATCCTCAGTTGTCATTGGGTGATGTCATAGGCTCATGATCTAAACAGGTTGTTACGACAGTGGAAGTCGCGTGATGCTGGGAGCATGCGTGATGTAGTTTCTAGAATTTTTATTGGGGAACCCCGCGAATGTCCAAGAGTTTGCTAGATGCCCTTTTTTTTAGTATATAAGCCTGGCAAAGAAAGCCAGCGATAGAGGCAGATAGATTGAAGATAAGAGATAATTGAGTCAAGTGAACAGTAAGCACCATAAGTAAAGTGTGTGAATCACTGTGATTTATAGCGTGTATTGTAAAAGTTGTTAAGTTTAAAATGACTGGAAATTCTGTGTATTATAAAAGTTGTATCGAGAAAGAATAAACTGGTTTAATTAAGAAAGGACTTGTATCGCTGAAGTTCTTCAGAAAGAATTTATACCAGAAATTAACAAATGAGCAGATAAGTAACAAGGTAGTGAAAGCTGTTTCTGTTTAATTTTCAACTGTATAAGCCAATATAGTTTCCAATTCAGTGGAAACTTGGAAAGATTGAAAGTTATAAAAGCTTAATTAGATAGATCATTTGCAGTCAACCATATCAAGTTTCATTTTGCTGACAAAGCTGCTATTTGTTAAGTTGTAATAACTTATTAGATGGGCAAACAAAATGTAAAACGAAATATGGAAATGAAAATAAAACAAGTTTAAAAATTAATCTTCTGATCTTAAACATCATAAATGGACTTGTTTATAAATTTGCTGTGGTAAAGGTTTTTTTATTGTACAGCAGTGATTGTAAACACAGTAAAACTGAATAATATAGTATTCTTTAAATCAAAGAAAATATAAAATTTACAAATTTATAAAATGGGCTTTATAGGAACATTTTAAGAGAATGTAGGAAGACATAAAAAAATGAGTAACTGAAATATACAACAAAGGTAAGCACTTTTAATTGCATCTTAAAATAACTTCATAATGAAAACTGCAAATTTATAAAAAAAAAATTAAAATAAAATGCATCAAATTGATCCACCTAGACATTTTAGGTTTAAACTATTTTGGAGCCTCAACATATCATTATAGACTCTGTCACCACATTCAGTCATGTTATAGATAACAATGTATCTTAATAGAATTTTTCTATTGCCAAAAGCTTCTTCGTAATGCTTTAATGTCAAAGCACAGCACTCCTCTCAGTATTCTTTCCTTAATCTATCTAATGTATAAAGAAGCTGGTTTCCCAGTTCCTGTTTCTATAGTCTGATCACACAGATATTAATAGGCACTGCATTTGGTTACTTGAATGGTATGTCTTCTTGTGGAATAGCATGAATACCCATTTCATTCTCCAGCTGCTTGTGGTATGTGATAGTACAACAGATATGTAATGGAGTCAGCTTGTGTACACTTGTCATATGTAGCTTTTCCAGACTGAGATCCTTCTTGATTATATTATACACTTCTGCCTGGAGAATGTGGGTAACTTTTGCCCCTGATCTTTGTTTTTATGGATTCTCGCCTGTTACATGATGCTGCACTTTGTTTACCACAACTGTGGTAAAAGTTGTTTTAGCAATTGGTGCCACAAGTTTATCCGTATTCCTTTGTTTTCCAATGTCACAAAGTACGGGGATATTCTAGTCTTGGAAATTCTAAATCCCAATCTGTAGACACCTTTATGATCCGAGTACTTGATCATATTGCATCAAAGGGCTGTTACATACTCTTCCCAAGAACAATGTCTACTGGCTTCACGTTACATAGAAAATGCCAAATTCAGAATGTAGTTCTGATAACTTTGTACTGCTCATGATTTTCATGTGACTTGCTGATTTGCTTATTCAAATATTTTAATGTAACATACTCAACTCTCTTCAGAAAATTAATTTCTTTGTTGAAAAGTATAATAATTCTTTTTGGTTATGTAAGTTTATAAAATTACTTCCTTTTTGAGCGAGTAAATTAGCGGCATTGTTTTAAAAGAAAAGGATCAAAGGAGTGGGCACAAGGTTGAGTAAAGTATTATTAATTTCAGGCATTTTGGAAAATGATATGAGATGCATCCTTGTAATTCATGCATCCATTTCAGGTCAGTAATCATTACACAAGTAAGCCTCGGGTGCTGGAGAAAAGGGTGTGGTGAAACATCTTAATTGTTAAATCACTTTTCATAGACTTGTACCTGCCCATCTAAATATGGTCGTTAAATATGCTTGTTTTTGGCTGAGTGCTTTAATTTTATTCAACTATTTTCAGGAGCAAAGGTGAAGCTGTTTGATTAACATTTAATTCAGGATGCATCTTGTGTATCCACAAACTTTCCTTAGTAAGTAGCATTGTTTGCTATCCACACTCCCCAAGATTTTGAAGTGTTTAGAAGTGACATTTGTGTCCCAGTCCTGTAAACAGTGGTGAAGGATGGACGACTGTGA